GAGATATATAGTACACATGTACATACATGTACATTTTACATGTATATTTATTGGTGATGCATTGAGCATATGAATGTACATGTACATGTATGTACATAAAAAGTGTAGTGTATGTATAAGAGATGTACATGTAGTTTATATTCATTGTTGGTTATTGCATTTGAGTGAATTTAATTACCTCTCTCCTTCAGTGTCTGGTAGTACTGGTCTGACCGGTGACGACGCCATGCCTTCTGGATCCTACGAGCATAAGCATCATACTTCCTCTCTCTGAGCTCCTCCAATAAGAATAACTAGAGAATAATAATAATAATAATGATAATTAATTTAATTTTAAACTGAGGACAATGGATGAATAAAAGAGAATGAAGAAGATTACCATATAAAGCTGGTAGTTTTGGTGAATTTGGCATTTTAATAGCTATTCACCAAAAATAAAACCCATAATTTTGAACTTTTCTGTTCATGCTCAATGACACATGGCCACAAATTCGCCAAATTAAAACCAGCTAAAATATCAAAAATTTAGCATTTTACCAAAACTTTATCCCTCCAAAATCACCAGCTATACCATAAGCCACAATAAAAAATAACAAAAATAGAAAAAAAGATGGAAAAGAGAGAAGGGTAAAAATAGAAAGAAAGAGGGGGAAGAATAAAATTAAATAAAAAGAGAAAATAAGATATTTCAAATAGTGCCAATACTCACTGATTCAGGACTCTTGATAAACACTTTAGTCTTCCCCAGCTGCCACTGGTCCGGCTCCATGTTGACTGACATCATCAAGTGTCGTATACCATCCTGGACTGGACCAGTCCAACGAGGATAAGTCTCAGGAGTCAGTAGAGCATACCTACACATGGACAGAATTCATGAACAAGTGTATTGTATACATGTACAATTGTACATGTACATACAATGTATATGTACATGTATGCAGTTCCATATTTTAAAAGTGATCGTGCGTACATGTAACAATACATGTCAGCTCATGAAGCTTATGCTATTTAGAAGATACAATGTACCAGAGGAAATAATCATGATTATGTTAGTGAGTATTGAGCCTCAAATTACCTCTCACTAATAACTGGATAAAAAACAATAATAGATAACTGCTGAATTGCTGAAAGGTCTTACCAAAAAACAGGAAGAATAAACTAATCTACATGTACAATATTACACTAAGCACTAGCACTCACTAAACCAAAATAATTATAATACGCTTTTAGATCACACACTTTTTGTGTAGTACTAAAATTATACAATGGAGCTCTGTTTTGTAACAAAGGAAACGCTATCGACTCAGGAACCTTCCACTACACACAATAACATGCAATAATAAATATCACTGCAGTAAATGCATAACAGTACAATAGTGATATAGTATTAAAAGTACAAGTACATGTATAATAACTCACTGTAGGATCAACAGTAAGCCACTCAGTAGAATAAAGTTAACTTCCTCAACAAATTCAACAACAAACACAACTGGATGAGACTTATCAGCATCCTAAGGCAATTAATTGCACAATAATATAAACGAATATTTTTATAGCCCATTGTTTTTAAAACAAGGCTGTGAAATCACTCTAATTTTTTTACATTTTTTTGCTGTGTAGAAAGTTTGAGCTGATTCTGACTTAATTAAGACTAGAGTACACCCAAGGAGCAACTACTAAAATTTGCAAAAAAATCCTTATATATTACAGGAACTTCTGTCTGATTTTTTAAGTAAGTAAAAGTTTGTAAAGAATATCCAAAATTTATTGAAATGAGCTCAAAGTTT